CTGAGTGGCTCAGGCCTGAGTAATCCGAGTTGTAGCCTCCAAGCGGCGAGTGCAGCGAGGTTTGGAGCCCCCCGGCGGCAGGGTGCAGCGAGCCGGGCAGCGCCGCCGCGCCATTCGGGTTCTGCACGTCGATCCAGCCCGCGCCCACGTCCCACCAGCTGGAGGCGCCGGCCGAGCCCACGTCGCCGGCGGCGGCCAGACCAGGGTGTGAGGGCTTGAACCACGACTCGTATGGATGCGCCATGCCCACTCGCGGGTAGATGCCCTGCAGCCCGTCCACCGAGGTGTGCACCTTGGAGATGAACACGGGCTGGTGGGAGCCGTCCTGCGAGTGCGCCGAGGAGCCGCCGCCGCCCCCGCCGCCCCCGCCGCCGCTGCCCCCCGATACTCCAGGCGCCTGGAACACTGAGTAGTCGTTTGCGAAGGGCGAGGTCGAGGCTGCGGCAGCGGCAGCCGCAGCGGCGGCGGCGGCGCTGCTGGAGGTTAGGGAGAAGGCGCTAGAGCCTGGCGAGCCACCGCAGCTGAACGAGTCGGACACCAGGGCCGCGGCTGCGGCTGCCGCCGCCGCGGCTGCCGCCGCGGCCGAGGACGAGCCGCCGTTCCTGGAGGCCCCCGACACGCCGAAGCTTGAGAGACTAGAGCCGACTACGTTGCAGCTGCCGGAGGAGGAGGACGAGGAACGTTTCCAGGGATGGAAGCCTTTGCTGAAGGAAGATGAGCTGTCCGAGAGGGAGGAAGGAGACGGGCTAGGGCTGCCGATCTTATTACAGGTAGCAGCAAGCATGGCCAGAGGAGTCGATCCCAACCTCGGTTCTTCCTGAGAGAAGGAGGAAAGGAGAAGAGGTGGGGGAGGGGAGGTGGGCAAAGGGCCGGGGGTGGGGGAGAAATGTGTATCAGTCCTCCGGTAGCCCCCAAAGCGCCCCACTGCACCCCATTTCTCGCTGCGGCGCGTCGCCACCAACTCACCTGGCTCCCCCAACAGCCCCGGCGCCCGGCTGCTTCCTACTCTACGGGAAGGGACAAGTTTGGCTGCCGGCGTCTGATTCGGGAGCAAAGCGCCATGCTAAAGAAGAGTTTGACAAGTATTCTCACCTAAAACAACACTTTCGTGCACACAAGGCCCCAGGCACTTCGAAAGAAACAAGCAAGCAAAAAGTACAGATTGGGAAAGAAGGAAGATTCCTTTGCAGAGAAGCCTGGGGAAAAACCATTGGATTGCGTTTAAAAGCGCTTCCCTTGCAACCCACAGAGAGCTTTGAAAATCCTGTTCCGGCCCCCAGAAACCCATCCTGGGTTGTTTCTCTCATGCCAAAAGACGTCAAACTATAGGGCTCGTTCGCTCTTCCTGATTTTCAATTAAAAAAAAAGAAAGTCTACAATAGTCAAAAAGAGAGAGATGGGTTCAACATACCTGCAAGTTAAGGCGGGCTGTGGAATTTTTTAAGGGGAAAAGGGAAAATCTGCAGTTTGCCCAGGAGGAAAAACTTGATCTGATCTCTTTACCCTCAAAATCGTCGCAAGTAAAATAGACTGGGCGCACGTCTCTTGGGCGGGGAGCCGCCGGGCTCTGCGAGGTGGCTTGTCTAAATGCCCTTCGAACCTTTTCCTGCGCTGAAAAAAAAAAGTGACTCTGCCCCCCTCTCCCTCTCTTTCTTTTCTCCAAACTCACTTGTATTTAAAGGGGGAAAAAAGCTCTCAATAGAGACTGATAGCCCGTGGCCTGGCCGGGGCGACTTTAACCCCCTCCGATCGGCAATAAAAGGAAACTAATTAAACCAGCAAGAGAAAATCCTGAGACTCACCCCTAGAAGTGAAGTTGCCATCACACAAAAGTGCCCTCCTCCTCTCAGAGGATCTTTTTTATATTGATAAATCAGAGGCAGTGTTTTTTTTAGAGGTGTGCAATACAATGATCAGTTCCGCCCATTCCACCACAATTGTAGCTCCCTCTCCGGCTTTGAAGTGCCGCGGAGGCGCGGCCAGCC